TTGGCCTACCCTACACTCGTCAGGCGCTTTTTGAGTTGCGGGTTGGCTTACCCAACACTCGTGAAGCGCTTGCTGTGTTGCGGGTTGGCCTACCCAATGCTCGTCGGGCGCTTTCTGTGTTGCGGGTTGGCCTACCCTACACTTATCAGGCGCTTCCTGTGTCGCGGGCTGGCTGACCCAACACTCGTGAAGCGCTTGCTGTTTTGGGGATGGCTAGACCTTCAACGGGCGCTCCGTTAAATGCGCGATTGCTCTCTGAACTCTTTGAGTGCCCTTTTCAAATGTGTGATATTTTGACACGGTGCTTGCCGAGTTCCTTCTAGCCTCTGGTGCTAGGTTACGTGTCCTGCTGGTCTTGTTTAGCCTTCAGTATGCATTGTGGCGTTCTCGTCCTTGGATACCTTCATTAAATCTCTTCGCCCTTTGTAGTGCACCGCACTATCATTAAGGGCGGCCGAACCCGTATTTGAGCGTGTGCGCGCGCTCGTGCGTGTCTGCGTGGCTGTGTTTCAACTCCTGCGCATTTCTGTAAGGCGTTCCTTTTGTAATGTGCAATAGATCTCGAATGGGATTCTTATGGCTCACAGAAAATTTCTAATTTTTGTTTCGTTAGATTGCGTTGAAATATTTTCGGACAACTGAATAGAATGCTATAGAAGGTGCAAATTCAACATAGGAAAAATTTATGCAGAAAAATTAATATTTTCATAAAACAAACCGCTCTTGTACACGAGGTTTATTTGAATTCATTTTTATGTTTTTCATAGTTGCAAATATGTTCCTTAAATTTACAAAATGTGTTTACGAATTTTCTCGTATTTTCACGCGTGATTCTTCAATCTTCACCATAGTGTCACTTGACACTTATTTTTTGTAAAAAATCTTAATTAAGAATCGATCTTGAAAGCAGATGATAAAATTTTAATAACAATAGGCCTGTTTTCTAATTTTCTCTCATATTTAGCTGTCATTTGTTAATGGCTGCTTGTTACTTGTAATTTTGTATTATCTGCTTAAAAGTTACTGCGACAGAATATCTGCTCTGGTATACCTATTGGAGGAGGTCGTGATGCGGGGGGATTATTGTCCCCTCGTGTGCGATGCGTGTCTAGCCTCGCGGCCACGCCCGCCGCTCTGTCCCGCTGTCAAAACGACCCCTCCGCACCCCGCGCCGCCCCGCCCAGATCCAGTTGCTAATGACCGGGGCGCGCCAGGGATCGCGACCGGGCGGGGCGAGGTGGGTCGAGGCGGGGCGTGGCGTGGCGGGGCGTGGCGGGGCGTGGCGGGCCATGTGCTACAATTCTCAGAGGTCCTCGCCGCGTGCCCTTGCCATTCAAACGCGGTGCGGTGCGCGGTGTTGGTGCTGGCCGCAGGACCGGATGCTCTCGTGTGCACCTCCCCTTCTCCCGCATCGTATGTCTCCTCTCTCAGTGCTTCGGAAACAGCCCGCTGACACTCAGCTCAGAGTTGCTCACATCTCTTTCTCACTTCTATCGCCTACAAGCACAGGGTCGAACTAGATTCTGTCAGGATTACTCCACTTGGCCGACCTCTTACTGTGCCTCAGAAGGAGTAGATGGATTTCTGTTTCGTGTGAGTTTTTAGCGGCCCGTCGTGTGGATGCTCTACTCTATCATACTGCCCCAGTTTTCCCCCTCGCCTCTCTCCATGTGCTACCGACATATCACATGGCTGGACGTGGTGGCCGCAGCGAGTTGTCCCGCCGGGGTCCTTGGGCCTTGTCTCGGTTCGGGCCGATGAGTCAGTGTGGGTCGGGCGGAGCCGGACCGGTGCTGGCGGGGCGGGGTGCGGCTGGTGGGAGTTGCCTGAGGCCGTTCCCCGCGCCGCCGCCGGTGCTCCAGTGCAGATGAGGCCAGGTCAGCTCAACTCAGTCAACTCACGCCTCTTTACCTAGAGTGTGTGTCGTGATCAATATAATCCTAGTTTTAGCAGCAGGGGCACTCTATAGGTGATATTGATTGTTGTTGAAAGTGAACAGGGACGATGTACGATGTAAAGAGTACTTAACGTTTTTTCAGACGAGATAGTGCTTTAACGTAAAGTAACTTGTCTTTCAAAAGTTTTATATTTTCAAGTATTCCCGCTCGTAAACATATTTGTTTCGCCACGCTGTGGTAACTTTCTGCCTTGCCCCGCGCTGCTTACAATGCAGCGCGGCGGTGCATTCCGACCGTCGTGCGTGACGCTCGGGCTGCAGCACCAGTGCATGCACTGCGTAGGACGCACCACGTGTTTCGGGGCGAGCGTGAACGTTCGTGTCGGCGGCTGGCTAACACCTGACGGAACAGCGTTCGCTCATTGTTAGCTGATAAAGTGTCATACGTCGCCCGTAGAGAAGACAACGTTGTAATATAATGTTTTTGCATAAGGATAACTTGAAACACTTTTGTATGGCTCAACCTGTTTACGCGGAAGTGATCTGATTAAGACTAACTGGCAGGTCGTGCAATCGGTATTAAGATTGGACTGCTGCGATTGCCTTCCGATAATAATAGATTTGCCTTTATTTTTGTAGCCACCGCTTCGGCTCGAACCTTTTTTTGCCTCGTTTATTATCAAAGTGCATATCGGTAGGTACGTGGGAGTCGAACTACTTACGCCCTCTGCACCTGTGCTCCTCGCCGCTCCGCCCCCTCCCCCCCCCCCCTCCTGATCCTGGCGGGCCGGCCTGGTGACCCGGTCCCCGCCGGGCGGTGACCCCTTCTGCGCGTGCGATTTAGCTCCCGCCAGCGTGGGTTCATGCCGCCGTGAGTGCAAGGAGGACAACTGCGCTTTCAGAGGAGGCCCAGAGGTGCAGGGGAAGGGGGCCGTGGGCCGCGGCCCTCGCTGACTGTTACAGTGACTGACGGACAGCAGACGTTTTGTAGTGTTTATTAGCGTACAATGAATGCAATAAATACAAATGGATGAAGCAATATGAGAAATGGGTGGGGCGTTCTCTCCCGTGAATCGTTCTGACGGCTAGCCATTGAGATCTGAATAAGACGTTTTCGGGACCACAAATAAAAAAAAAAAAAAAACAGTTCCGGAAAAACGAAAACTGAACCAATTCCCAGTGGGAATTCTGGCGGTACCGTAAATGCCGTACATTTTTAGACTGCTTGCAACAGATTCTTATACTTACACAGATTCTGTGTCAAGGGCACGGTATCTATCCTATGTACTCCGGTACGACCCCAACGTGGCTCCTCTAACGCTGGTAGGCCCGTGCAGGGGATGCTCGCGCCGTGGCCGCGACGTACCCTGTCCTGTGCGCTGCGTGGTCCACGCGCTGACCGACGTACGCCGGAGGCTGCACGGCGGCGGCCACCTTGGCGTAGGGCGCCGAGACGTGGTTCAGCGCGCGACCCGGGGTGGCGTGCCTGTGCCCGGCGGCGGGCTCCCGGTGAACGACGGCGTTGAAGCCGTGCTGGGCGTCGGCCGTGTACTCGACCGTGCGGCGAGTGCCGTCCGGGTCGAGCAGCGAGTAGCTGCCGTGCACCACGTCGCCGTCTCGGCTCTCGTGCTGGCTGTGGATGTCGCCCGTCACTTCGTCGTGGATGTCGTACGCGTACTCGTACTTTGCCGGCGCCGAAGGGTAGTCCTCGACGGCGGCGTGCCTGACCGGCGTGTAGTCTTCGACGGCGGCGTGCTTGACCGGGGCATAGTTCACGGGACTGGTGTGCTTTACCGGGCTGTAGTCCACGGGAGTGGCGTGCTTGACCGGCGCGTAGTCCGGGACGGTGGTGTGCATAGCGACTGGGCCCGCCGCGGGTGCCGGTGCGTCGGCCACCCCGTGGTAAGGCGTGTAGCCTGCAGACGGGGCGGCAACCCTCGGTCCTCCGACAGACGGGCGCGTTTCATGCGTGCTGTACCGTGGCGCGCTGTAGCCAAGGGATCCGGGGTTGACGAGGACTGCTTGCTGGAAGCGCTGTGGTTCGGAGGGGTGGTGGGCGTTGGGCTGCCTAGGATGGGCTTGTGAATACGGAGGCGCCCGGTACACGGCGGGTGCGTGCTTGGGGACGGGGTAGGCGACGGGCACGTTCTTTGGGTACGCGTGGCCTGAGTAGGCGAGTGGTTCGTTCGTTGCCTGGAGGTGCGGGTCGTAGGCCGGTACAGGGCGCGCCTTGGAGAGTGCGGGCTCTTCTTGTGGATGTTCCTCGTAGACGGCCTTGCGGTAGGCAGGGAGCTGGGGGTTCTCGTAGGGCGTCCCGCTTTGCTCCGTTGGGTAAGCCACCGGTGCGTTTGGGTTGTAGGGCGCTTCATGTTGGGCGGGCTGGGGGTGCGCGGCGTAGGAGGCCTGTGCCCTTTGGTAGGCGAAGACGGGGGCTGTAGCCCTGGTGGCGTATCCTGGTGCGGCGTGCGTGGTGGTGTAGGTGATGCCCCTGGGCTGGGCGTACTGCACGGGGGAGGGAGCGTAGTCGCCCAGAGCCCCGGACAGCAGCAGGCATGCGCCCACGAGCGCGGCGATGGCGACTCTCTGCAATCGGTACAACAGCAATCAGTCAACGGCAATCATTCCATGCGACGACTCCTGCACACTACGGCAGTCACCGAAGTGAGCATTATCGATTTGAAGGAAGCTGCCGTGCCGCCACTATCCGTGACCTGCCTCAACCAACACCCCGCCGCCCTGCCCCGCCCTGCCCCGCCCGGGTGGGCCCGAGACATGTTTGAGGCCGCCTGCCGCGGCTGGTGGGGCTTCAGTCCGCTGGGGTGACGTTTAGTGTCCATTGGGCCTTGTTTATGTACCTGTGTTGCGGCCCGCAGGACTGCGCTCCTAGGAGCGATCAAATGTCGCCTGTGCGCTGCTGTTTGCTTTGGCGCTGCTTACTTTCGCATGTTTATTGAATTTGTAAGCGGAATACTTTTAGCTCGACTTTTTAACTCTATCGTCCAACAACTTTCTTATTTGCAGTATAAAAAAAAAAACGGTTTACCATATATCTTTAAGCACAGTAAAAATGATATCAATAGCAATAAGTTTTGAGTAAAATATTTTCTGTGCCGTGTGTTTCTGTACACGTACTCTGCAGGGTTGCGGGCGAGGGGGTAACAACTCCGAATTTTGGTGTATAGAGTATAACGCTCTATTTCACTGATTATTACACGCAAAAATCTACCATTTCCGTACGTATTTTATTTAGCCCTGTTCCAGACTTTTCGGTATTTCATTACGCGTTATTGCGCAGGTGTGCAGATTATTACACGAGTTTTTGCCCTCTCGCTTGCGGGTTTGCTATTTCACTTGGGCCGAATGGACACAAAAGATGAAAGATTATTTAATAATATATAAGTTTAATACAAAGCAGGCTTTACATTCAGAAAATTTATTGACACTGTATTTTGTATAGAAAAATCTTTGTTGGTTTACTTTTTACCCGAGGAATTGTAAAAATAAAGCTCATTCACTATTTTGACGAACTATTAAACGAGACGACATTCTGATAGCCCGGATTGCCCTGTGCTTCAAAGCTCGGTATTGTGACCGAACGACAATATTTGAATGATGAAGTCCTCTCTTGCACTCATTTAAGCAGCTCTCTAAAGTCAAACAAATGTGTGTGTGTCTTACCTGGGCCACTGCCATGTCGCTGGTAAACCGGCAAGAAGAGAAGTGAGTCGGTCCTGAAATATACGCTCACCTTTATACCAGAGCAATACGTGATGTAAGTGCTGCTGCTCGTGCACTTGCACCCTGTCCCCACCCCCGTGTACGCAGTTCGTTCTCGACCCCTCCCCGCCCCCTCATCCGCGGCTGCGTTCCCTCGCTATGGATGCATTCGTACTCCCCCACCTCCCTCCAACCAGAAAAAGTCCCGCTGGCGTGAACTTCATGCTCGATGACATTATACCTAGGAAATGCCGACTTGCTTACAATATATAGTTGACAATAATAAAAATAATGAAATTTGAATTGTTCTAGTCTTTTCTTAGTGTTTCTCTTCATCGATGGTGCAAGGTGTTGTGCCAGTTGTCATGCGCCAACGGGCCAACTCAATATTTCGGACCGCTGTATGACATTTCTCCCTCCCGCGCCAGCCCAAGTCTTGCGGTCGGGCGCCGTCTCTAAATTGGCGCCATGGTGAGAATTAGATTGTGTGAGGGGTGGCCAGCGCCAGCCGGTCCAGCTAGTCCGGCGCCGCCCCCCTCTCCTTCCCTTCCCGCAACGTGCTCCTGCCACCGGCCGCTCGCTGAGTGATGGCTGAGCATTGTGTTGCTGTTTGTAGACCCTTGTCGTGGAAGCGTCGGTATGCGTGCGTAATGATTTGTGTTTACTCGGACTACTAGACAAGGTATCCCCATTTCCATGTTTTACGTGTACAGTCCATTCATAATATATTCTTTTTACTGAAATTTCTCTGATGTGCTGATGTGCAATGGGAGTAGCATGATACCTCCTCTGATAAATTGTGAATTACAAACTATTTCTTTGCTAGCTTGCAAACTGTTTCTTTCCAATACGAACGCTTAGTTTGCAAGGTATCTGAGAGCATGCAAAGAATGTATTTGTAATACGAACTAATTGCTTGCAATACTTAGATCGAAAGTTCTTTGCAACGTTGCCAAGAAAACAGTTTTGCAAACATTTCTCACAGAGCATACATGGCTGTCCAAATGCCTGCGCACCTTACGAACTAAATACTGATTCGACTTGTTCGCTCGAGTTTGTACGTTATTCTTACTTCGTGGATAACGATAACGCTCACACCCGGCGAGACCCCGCTGATGACGTCCATGACCTCAACAACGGCCTCAGTGATCCCTGCACTGTGCTCTATGGGCTCTGCTGTGTAAGTGGTAGTTAGTGGTTATTCCGGGGCCAGCTACGAATGTAATGGTCCCATCAAACGTCATCGAAATCCGTTCGTTTTTGACACGCCTCTCTGCCCTGACAACCGTTGTACAATAGGGCGTTAAAACGTGCGTCTTTCGCAATGTGGTGTTGGTGTTGGTCGCGTTTGGCCCTGCGTCTTGTCAGGCTCAATGTTGTGATATTTTGAACATGCGTAGAGCAATAAGCTAAAAGTTGAGCGTAGGCGTGGAGGCCAATCAGTTGTCTATCTTTATACGTTTCCCCTTCTTATCCGTGATGCATCATTTTCTGGATAATGTCATTTGTGAGAATCCTCTGGCATTAATTGTATTCTTACTAATCGCCATCTCAAGAGTTTGGATTGTGCGAATGGCGTGGCAGACACAGTGGCAGTGGCTGCTCCGGCGGTCTAGAGAACCCAAACATCGCACTGTGGCTCAGTGTTCCCATACTCGTTAGGACGTAATTAAGGAACCCAATAAAAGAGGGAGGGAGGAGGGGGCAGGGCCCCTTCCTTTTAGAACTGCCATTAAAAATTGTGTTTTTATATAGGAGATAATTATCTGTTTAAAATCTCATTATACTGGGGCAGGGATTTTTGAATTTTGATTTTTAATAAAAACAAAATAATAGCCCTTGTTGATTCGATTAGATAGTCGTAATAATGGATTGACTGTGTGCGAGTGCCCGTAGCAATGACTGTGCAGCGAAAACAATGCCATGCCAATGTCAGTGGCGCTACCAATGCCAAGCCGGCCACGGGCCACGAGCGCTGCATTCCCAATAACGTACCGGATATGGGCCTTATTCTGCGTAACTACCGACGTGGAAATGCAATTCCGTGTGCGAATGTGTGTGTGTGTTTCTTTTGGGGCGAGTGTGTTAAAACAATGGAGGTTAAATGGCAAGCCGAGTGAGGTGGAGCGCTCTTTGGCTGTGGCCTTAACACTTCCTTCCCCTGTTTCCGCTATGTGTTCTACGCCGAGTCGAGGGGTGCTCGGGTCGAAGCGGGTCTGCCATCCGATCGAAGTCGAGTGCCAGTTAATGTGGCGTGGGGTGGAGCGGCGAGGCCTGGCGCGCTGTGGTGCGGCTCGGAGGAGGGGGTTCCCCTGGAGTCAAATCCGTCGCTGACCGGTGAGGACCAGGCCTGCCGCACGGAGGCGTTTAGCATTGCCTAACTAGACTGTCACTCAGAATGCTCGGCCATGCCCCTTGCACTGTCACAACCACCGCACCGCCGCACATTTTGAACTGCTCAGCGTCTGCGCGGACACGTGTCTAGCTGGAGTTGTACTTCGGAAAGGGAAGTTGATGATTTATCCAAACGTCTCAATGATAACGTGCCACAGGCCATAACGTTCTGCAGGAGGGGAAGTTATCTATCGTGTGTCCTCTATCGCCTTGCTCGCTTTTAGTAGTCGAACGAGTGCAAGAGGTCGCGCTCACAACAGGAGCGTACGCTGTCCGTATGCTGATGTTGCCCCTCACTGTAAAAAGCTTACGAACTAAATACTTTGCAACGTTACGAACAATTTTCGTTCTTTGTATTGC